AAAAGTATTACACCTTGTTTAGAGAAACCAGAAAAACACTGATTAAGTGTTAATCAATGCAACACCACACATAAAATGCGTCTCGTCCCGGTGAATGCTCCAATCCCATTTTGTTAGACAGACTTTTGTCACACAAAGGTCTCGACCCTGGTCACCACAAAGTCCCAACAAAGTATGTGGTGTGTGTTTTTATACAAGGCACTGTTCTAGATAATCCTCTATCTCCAAACTACAGCATTATACAATGTACAGACAGGCAATGATGAGGCAACTTTATCTTCAGGTTGTGTTTCATGACCGTGGAGTAAAACAGTTGTTTTCTGAGACATTTAAAACACTGTGAAGGATAAAGGCCAACCAAGGGTACTGCCCAGAAAAAACAGCAAATAATGACAAAAAAAGATACTGTCACTGTTACTCTCATAAAAATCTTAAGGATTGTGTTTGACACAAAAGTAAACATGATATAAGCAGCAAAATTTGTATCAACATAGAGTCATGTCTGGCAGCAGACAACCATTTCTACAGCAACAGTGAGTTTGTGTTTGTAGAAAAATGTATCTGGCAATTTCAGAGAATATGAAAAAATCCTGTTTCATTGTCCAATTTTAATATCTTTAGTGTCATGTCAGTTGTATTTGTCTATGTACACTGCATGAATGAGTGTATAGAGGGCTGAGTGGTTCCTTGATGTTCAGTGCCTTGAAGGTAGAAAAGTGGTATACAATTGTGCCCATTTATTTATAATTCATAATGAACTGTACTGTCATTTTGTAATGTGTAATTTTTTTCTTTTGAACTCTGGTCACACAAATTGCTGACAGAAAGTAGGTTGTAGCTAAATCTGGTACAGAGACTGTTTTCTTTTGTAAAATCAATGTTACAAGGTCCCTGCTGAATAAAAATTTAAACAAAAATGGCCAATTCACCAACTATATTTTTACTATGTGATGGTGTTAAAATATTTAAATACTAAAATACTGCTTTAGTATCCAGTTTTAATTATTAGGAATATTGTGATTTATAGTGGTCAGACCATGGCACTTTCTGTGCTTGTTCCAAACCAGGATGAATGCAGAAAGGTGTAGGAGGACCAAGCACCAGAAGACCCTCATCAAAACAGATGATTTTTGACAGAGAAACACAGGTGTTTTTCAGGAACTGCTTCTATGTGTTTGCTACTTTTCACTTCAACAAGTCCCTCCTGCCCATTATTTTACTTTGTGATGTGCTGAATGTAATTTTGTAAGTTTATTGTATAATAATAATAATAATATAATAACCTTCTGTATTATGAGGTTCTATTCTTGTAAACCAATGCATTTTTACTTGGCTGGTAAGAATTTTAGACTAAAGCTATAGTGACTAATTGAATGCGCTCAGATGAATCCTCGTAGCAAAATGTGGTTTTAGATGTCCTGCACAGCTCCATACCAGTCTTAAAGTGCAGATGAGTGCAGGTGACATGTGCACAGTGTTGAATCAAAGACTGCTCTTGATCTTGTCATGGACTTGCTTCAGTTTCTTCTCAGATGCAGAGATTAAATCAGTTTATGTAATGCTATCAGTGTAATTTGAAAGAAGTAAGAACACAGTCAGATTTCACTTGTGGTGTATGATGACATTGATTTCTTTGTCTTTTCAGTTTGAATCATGATTGTGGAAGAATTACAGAGAGCTGCCACTAGAGGGTGATGGTGATCTATATATTTTATGTTGAATCATAGAGCATACCATGCAAGGACTGAACCACATCAAATAACATATGGAGAATAACAGGGACAGAAGCAACTCCCAGTATAATGCAACGTCAAAGTAACTGACCATCCAATGTACCACCTTAATGTCAACCGTAGCCGAAACACTGCATCAACAGTGTAATCGAATATGACCTGCAGAGGGGGTGTTCACCAAGCAAAAGAACCTCATACTGAACAGGTTGGGTCACAAGTGAAGTCAAAGAAAAATTACACAAAAAAATTAAACAACTGAAAACTACCAACAACTACTAATGTAAAACATGGGCGGTGATGTGTTGGATGCAGTTTTGTCAAAATACTAAAACTAAAATAATAATACTATATTTAATATTACCATCATATTACCACCTGATCTTATAGCAGTACTGCTATAGATTAATACCATTAAAAAAAAAACGTATTCAAGAAAAGTAAAATTTGCCCTGTTTTTGTTCCTGTTTGATCCATTTTTGTTTTTTTCCAGTATGAATACCTGTTCAAATGAGTTTCTAATTTTGTTTCTATTTTTAATATTGAGTAGTATCTGATGGATATCAGCACCTTTGGTATCCCATATTTGGTGGAACATTTGCCCTCATAGTCATGGTACTGTGCACTGTGCATTGTGCACACAGTGCGGAGCTGAAACTCAGAAAACACTGAACCCTCTTCAGAATGTGGAAAATCAAATTCTGGCATGCAAGATACCACTCATGAGACAAATTAAATTAGGAAAAAAAGGGGAAAACATTTGAGAGCAGGTGAATAATTCCTAAAACTAAATTAAGATAATTTATAGTTAGTTAACTAAGTTTAGGAACACTTCGAATACCACTTTGTCTGCCATGATCATTTTCAAGCATAATAAATTCAGAATGTTTTTTTTTGTTTTGTGTTGTGTTGAGGATAACTGATGTGATGTATTCTCGTATGTGATCCATATATGCATGTGTGGATGTGGCATGAAGAAATTATTTTGAACCTGCAATTGTTCAGGTAACAACAGCCCCTGCATGTTTTTTGCTGAAATAAGTGTTTTAGTGAATGCAGCAAAAAGACTTTTGCTATTTAAATGTAACCAAAACTACAGAAGAATCTAAACTAAACGTCTGCTCACAAAAGCCAATATCCAACCAGCAGTATTATTTCTGACACTGATGACTCATAAGATGTTCATATACACCTTTTAGTGGCACAGTGGTTGCATATGGTTTCAATCGGCTGATCCTCATGCTACAGTTGACACTTGCCTATTTAATGAACCTAGATGGATTGGACTTGTTTAGTGTTGCACTTATGTATATTGCAAAGAGGGCTACATGGTATGAGACTATGGTGACTAACTTTGCAGAAATGGTATAATGCTGGTTTCTTTCTTCTTTTGAGAACAATTAAAATTATAACCACTAACATCATGGTTTCAGAGGTAGTCTTATGGACACCGTTTTTGAAATGAAGATGCTTTAACTCCAGAAGTAAAGTGTCCAAATGACCTACTCTGAAACTTTTTCTGCAGACAGTGACATTATGACCATGAAAACTGTTAAACAGATGTGTACATTCCTGTACATTCTGTTGCTTAGTTACTTCTACATATATTGGCAATATCAAGGATGATGATTTGTAAGAAGTCCTAAGTGTGCTAAACTTGATCCTTCAAAAAGACAGGATGAAGATGGGATGCCAGAAAGAAAAGTACAAAATTAGTGATAGCAAAAATAGGATATAGAACAGAATAATAATATTTGCACTTAGACTTGAATTGCACTGTCTCAGAAAAAAACAAAGCAACAATGAATGTGAAAAATGTATCAACATTTCACTAAAACTACAATAAATATCTTATTTTGGTCGGTTCAGAAATTATAGATTGTGGCAATGCAGTTGCTCAATGTCTGTATGTTTCATTGCATTTGGGTACAGAGTGGCAGCTGCTTCCCCGTCAGGACAGATTTTTACCACCAGTGGTCATTAAAAAGGTATTCATGGATAATACATGGAGACTAACTAGAAAGCTTCCAGTTGTTTATTAAAATCTCTACGTTCCTACTGTTTTTATCCTCACATAAATCTTTGACACTCGTCTCCACAGGGACCTTAGCATTGATGAGTCTTCTTGAATCCACTGCACTTTGTACAAGAGCAGAACGGTCTTCTTCCTTCTCCTCACCCATTGCAGATTTCAGTGTCTATCATTATCAGATCTGTATATGTATTTGTACAGGGCGTCAGAAAGAATCTAAAAACCCTAAACCCTGAAAATTAATAAAGGTTTTGAGCAAGAAATGTAAAATAAGCGGATATGACATTTGCTTGTAGTTTGTGAAAAGAATTAACTTAAATATGCATTTCTTTTTATGTTAGTTGTGAGAGTATTTAGAAAATAACTTGACAAAATGAGAATTTAATTTTGACTGCTATATTTAGTATAAATAAACCTACAGTACCTATTTTCTTCAGATCAATTCAAAGACTCCTGGATGGAACGGGTGGACACTTTCCCTATTTTCCATATTAAAAGAAGACAAAACCGACTTGACTGTTGTCAAGTGTTGGGGAGCAACTCAATGTTTCAGTACCACACTCACATTGAAGGAGTTTGGTGTATGGGTCACATAATTACCAGGAGAACTCTCTCCATTCAGGAATTATCAGAAAATGTCTATGTACAAAAGCACAGTGTCCAGCCATATAGCATTTTCATTGTATTCTACAGAGAAAGTTGCCTTTTACTTATTTATTTCAATGTAATTTAGAGGCAGGATAAAACGGAGTAAACCAATTGAGGATAAGACAACTGTGATACTTGCATCTCTTCTACACTAGACACAGCTGCGACTTTCTACAGTTGTAAAGACATCTGGGTTATTTAAAACAGGAACAGAAAATAGTTGCAAGTCACTGATAATGTGACCACAACCTGGCTGTTGCGGTTTAGGAAAATGACTTTCTGGTAGCGATGCCCCAGCGGAAATCAAATCTGTATGGATCAATGCCAAACTAATTTTCTCCATATAGAATACAATGAGACATCTCCACTACAGTTATATTCATAAGAGTTTGCCAAAAGCAATCTCTTTGCATGTTTAGTGAACTGCTTGGGCACATTCAATGGGAACATTTGAGTCGGCTGAAACAAACTGTAAAGTGATACTTACCGCTGCTGACTCCTCAGAGCAGTGGCGTTGTGTGGTTTGTGTTGTGTAATGTGTCAAGTGCTTATGTTGTGTAGTATGTGTCTGAGTGGCTGGTGGTACATACAGGCATTATACTGTGTAGCCTGAGCCTCAGTGACACTGGGGTCACAGGTTTGACTGGACTCTGACTCTGAAGGCTTGTCCTCTTCCTTCGTCTCCTCACACACTTCTCTGTTTGCAAGTCGCTTAGACACCCTACTCCCCCTCTGGGCCTGCAATTACACATTTAAAGATACGGAAAGTGGTCTATTATTTTTCAGTTCTTTTTTTTTTTTTTCCAGTGGGCTGAATGTATACTTAACTTTTGTAATGGTGTTAATTCCCTCTGCAGAACACTACACATCTATTTACATAATATGTATAAGTCTAAATTACAGGGTTAACAGGTTTTATACAAATATTGTTCTAAAACCCATTTGATTCCTTGTGTTATGCATTTTAGTAGATTTCCCAGATGTTAGTGCTGCTAAAAAGTGCACTGTAAAATATTGTTGATTTTTACATCTAAAGTGTATAAATAATCATGAAAATATCACCATTAAAATATCTGACTAATAGAGGTAACAAAGCCTAACCTTAGCAGGGGCTCGAGCAGGGGCAGCTTTCCTCTGCGCTCGGGCTCTGGTCTTGGGTGCTTTGGGCACAGACAGGTTCTTGATAGTGGCGGCAGCGTGCTGCATGATGCAGTCACTGCCGCAGTAAACAGACTCGGGTAAAGCAGATTTGGAGCAGCCAGGTCCGATACAGACTGGAGAATTGGAGTGAGACACTGGGGTTGGATCTGGTTCAGTTTTGACTAATAAAGGGCTCTCCTCCACCTCCATCATCTCCAAAGTGCTCTAAAACCACAAGCTTAAGTCAAACTTCAAGAGATTCAAACCTATTAGCAAAACAAAATGCCCACATATACAACAGCATTATACCCAAATTGTGTGGCAATATTATGTCAATGCTAGCTTTCCTGACACTTACATCTATCCATCTATATTGGATTGCGCATTGCACTCTACTCCACATTTTTTCGTTTTGTGAGTGTGTATGTGTAACTGTAGGCTCAATGGTAGCTTTTCCTCAGAAACAGCCAGATGAGCTTTTAGTTTTCATATTTCACAATAAGTCTGTGAAATCAATCAATCAGATCAAATTTTGATTGAGACTTTTATATATTCTGATATGCTTAGGTATTTTGAATTGAAAAGTCTACAGATTATGTCAGTAAAAGCAAGTAGTTCTGAGCAGATTTTTTTTTGTTACCTGCCATTCATTAAAAGTCTGTATTGTATATATTCAGGGAATTAATACTGAAAGACATATGGTATTAATTGCTTAAGCCAGAATAAATTGTAAAATTACAGATAAATGGAAAGATTTTTTGCTATATTGCTCTGCCCTATTTCAAAATACTGCACTAAAGGTTAAATAACACATTAAATACAATACAATCGTGGTCAAATTCCCTCTGTTGACATGTGAAAATGTTTATAGCCCCACACTAGTATGTATGTAAAATTTTACATATTTTTTTCACCTGTGTTTGCAGATTCTCTTGTTCTTCACTGTCCTCTGCAGGTGGACTGTGCATTAGGCAATTTAAAGGGCTCATCCCGAGATCAGGCTGAATAGTGAGATCTGCCTGGAGGAGGTTTGGTTCAATGCAAACCAAACATATATA